ACGCGAGATAATGTTGCTTTTCCTGCCCGGCCACCTCGAGAGCCAACGATGCTTTTTTAGCGGCTCTATTTGCGAACGGGAGCGCAACGGGAAAAATAGCTCGATACGTTCTCACGGAAGATTCTTTTCAGACGATGCGTTTGTGTGTCACGCTTCTTGCTGCAGGTATGAATTCTTTATTTGGGAATGTCTTAATTGGACGGTCTATCAGGGTGTGGATTATACTTCGCGTAGATTTTATGGCGTTTTATTGTGTGTTCAGGGAGTATACATAAAAATAACTGGGAAAGATACTTCTTTATTTCGTGGTTCATATACAGTGGACTCTTGATATATTGCAGCTTGTTATATTGCCGCGTGAGGCACTTCCCCTGCACACGTACTTTCACATAAATTCGCTCTCCCACTATAAGATTACTTACAACTCTCTACTCTCGCTAGAATTCTCGGTAAACATTCTATAGTTCATTCCCTGGACCGTTTCACTCGAAGACAAAACATTCTCATGAATCACCGTTGACTCACGTCTGTATTTCTGATCGACAAAAGAAACGAGAGGGCGTACCGTTCGCAAGAAAGGGCAATTAAAACAATGGGGCTATTAACACGCTCGATACAACGGCGTTCGATCGTTTCCAAGCTTCTTGTCCGAATATCCCTGGTGAGTATCGTCAGCTCGGGTTGACAGTGTCGGGGCACGTTAATCCGAAAGCGTCACCGTGTACATCGACAAGCACATACACCGGCGTATTCACCTGTTAATCGGATTTACCTTGAGTCACGAGCGTGTGGCTTACGAAAGAGCGACGGTATCGGCAGAAGGAACGTGTTTTGCATTCCGTGACCGTGTGCGTTATCTTTTTTTTTCCCGGTGCTCGCCCTGGTATCGCGTCCCAGAAAAAACATTGGTCGCCGACAACGATGGACGGGCGGGGTAGTCGTTGCAACTGGAAAAATTAATTCCACTGGTCCCGGTCTCGCCTCGCCCCTGGTTTCCCATCGTCGTTCCGGGACCAGTAGTTCCGTGAACGAACGCGATCGCTCGTATTGTCAGGCTGAAATACCGACGCTGGTCCCAGCTCACGCTCGCTTTCATTCGTTTTCAGCGACGCGACACTGGGCGATTCTTCTTTCTCGTCGAACGGAAATACGACCGAATTCTAGCGACTTGCTTTTTTTCCAGATTTCCTGATATCGTTTCAATGTTTTCGTTCCTTGGGAATGAAGACGATCTGTGGATTGAATTGCAGGGGTAAAATAGGCCGAAGGTTATAATTAATCATTTTGGTTTCAATTGTCCCCTGTGGAGGATAAAAATTAACGAGGAATCAGGAAAGCACGTTGAACGGACCACAGAAGATCTACTGTTCGAAACTCCTACTTAGGTACGGAAGACTCCGTTCGCGATATATTTGCAACCGAGGCAAAGGTCTCCCGGTGACGCTTGTTGTCCCCACAATTTTAGCCGCCTGCGTCCCGTTTGGGCTCTACTCCACCTTTGGAACTAGGACACTGTTGATGCATCGGAACCGGTCGCGCGTTTCTCATTCTTTTCCACGACGTAACACGAAAATCTATTTTACGACTACCTGTCATGCGACGCTTGCCTCGCCTGTCGCGTTCTCTATGTAAAAGCATCGTCCCATAGAAACGCGAGGCTGTTAATTTCCGTCGTTCCCGTTTCATAACCGATGAGCTGCTGCCGGTGCGAAGAAAACAGGACTATATACACAGTCCTCGTTGCCTATAAGGACAGGTAACACGCAATTATCCAGGATTCCCAGTTCAGTGTGTCGCCTCCGGATAATTCCCGACCCAGCTCGTAGTCTTCGAACGTTTAATACGCGGTCGTCGCTGTCCGATTACGTATATACTCGCGACACACCGTGTCGAAAGACACACGGCAGCCTCCGAGCGTGTGGAGAACATCGAGCAAGGTAGTCTCGCGGAAGGTTGCCCTCTCAAGGTTAACAGCGCGCGCCGAGAGGACTCGTCGTGTGCCGACGACGAAACGCAAATGTTCGATGGCGCCAACCAGACGCGGACACAGACGCTAGCGTACCTACCTCGTTTCATTCGGGCAGGTACCTATTCGCGCTGTTCCCTGTTCCACGCTCGCATTACGAGTCGCGGAAATTGCGGCGAGCCTGAAAATACGCCGTCGTTTACACGGAGGTTCTTGTTTGTTGTTATTTTTTTTTTTTTTTCATCGCCACGGCTTCGAAACGACGACGGCGGCGGTGGCGGGACGGGTTCGTTTCCTCTTTTAGCGGCTGAACACGCGGGGCAATGCGTGTCTACGCCCCGCGGGCATTTAGCGCGATCGTTACCGAGTCTAAAAGTCCCAGGACTCTCAACCACGCCAGACTCGGCGCAGTTTGTCGTAATAACTGTACCCATAATCTCGGCGATTTTACACCGCGGCAAGAAACTGGAGGGGGAGACGGAAAGGAGCGAAACGCTTCGCGATAATTAGCCGGTTCGTCTTGAACGCTTTTTCCACGACGACGGGGCCGCCACCGTTAGCGCGGCGCCGATTCTTCGGTTAAAGCTAAGCGAAGACGCGAACAGCTAGTTAGCGGCGTGAACACCTGTTAGAGAAACGAGAGGACGGGCTGCTGAAGGGGAGACCTGGCCTTACCGTAACCCGGAATCGCTTCTGGTGTAAGCTGAAATAATTGATTACCTGATTAGTTGCAGTCGGATACCACTGAAATGAGAGATTACGACTTTTCACGTCGTTTGTCACGTGTCTTTCTGTAGATGGACGATGAACATTCCGTCACGCTGTTTCCTGTCGACGGGAGTTAGTACGGTCGGGACCTCGATTAACCGGATCGCGATTATCCGTGGTCGCGATCACGCAGAGTCTCCGGTCGAATGAGTTCTCGTATTCACTAAGTAGACTGCGGATGTTTATGCAAATATAGATCTTTCTAGTCCATTCTACAAAAAGTGGTAATAAACAGAAATTACTTTACTATATTTAAGATTTTATTATGTTCTGAGGAAAATGAAGAGCACGTCGAATTTCACTAAATATTTTATCATTGGTTCGGGATGAAGCACTTGTAAAAAGCAACATTAACAGAATAAAAGAAACGTAAGCAAGCAAGCTTAATAATTTCCATTGAAACATTTTCATAAACATTTCCATTCAATCCACTTCTTGCACGTTTTTCGATTTTATGTGGCCACAACAGATTTCACGGGTCTGTATTCTTGTACTGTGCTAGGAAATAATTTAAACCGCATCTCGAAATCGGTGTACGTAATTCACTTTTTGAGGGAGTCGTTGAACGGCGCAGAGTTAAGTGCCCTGGGACACGCGAGTCAACTTTGCCTGTTTGGATTTGATACAGACTACGCGCGCGCGCGGCCCACGGGTTTTCCAGCCGATCGATGCGTCGATACCGGATTCGAAAACCTTTCTAGTCGTCGAACAGATCGATTCGAAGCGGATCGTAGCCGCCGATCGGTGGTTATCGACGGGCTAGGGACTCCAGTTTCGAATGCGTACGAGTGTCGATCGAGAGGGTAGTCGTGGACTGTCGAAGATAGGCAAAATCGCGGTACGCGTTATCGGATCCAATGTTTCGTACTGTTATCAGACTACGCCACTGAAACTGTCACGGTGGAAATGATCGCTGGTCCGGCTGGATCCACAGTGAACTAAGCCAACACCTGCACGAATGTTCGCGTAACTGTGTTACACTTCGTCCCCGAGTCTGGCAGCTTGAAATTTAGACCCTGTACGCTTGGTATATGATCGATCGAACTTCTAGCGGGTGAAAAGTTGTGGATTAAATATCCTCAGCCCCTTAACGATAGTTCCCACCTGGATTATAAATAACAGTTTGCCTGTGAGGAGTGTCGTTCGAAAATTTGGAACATACTTTGCTGTTTGATTAAATCAAACAGTCTGTATTAGCTTATTTGTGTTATTAATGTACTGTCACAAAATGTTTACAAAACACATGCTCCGAACTTTTGAACAGTGGTGTATATAATATACAGATGAGTTCTTAATATTTACTTTCTTCACTGTACTCCTCTTCCTATTTTATAATGTACCCTATTTTCTCTTCATATAACCCATAATTTATTGCTCGTTATTCTCCAATCTTCCGACTTATTATTCTGCAATCCCACATGAAACTATCTGGCGTCTACAGCGAGAAAAATAATGACCGCCATGACTTCATCCGGCGGAAGATCATTCGCGAGCAATTTAACGCGACCGCGTATCGCCGCTGCAACAGATTTACTTTTCACCGAGCTTAATAAACGCGGGTGGGGGCTATCGCCGGGAAATTGGAACGTTATTTTCCGCGCGTTTAACAATTTTCGTGTTCCAACTGCGGTTCCGATTGGTATCAATTATCCGACGAATATTGAATTTGTAAATTTCGTTCCGTTCGCTCGCGAGAAGAATAATGGCCCGTCGAAATCCACACCGCGGGATCGATTCGACGAAACCATACCCAGTATTCGAGACGAGCAGGCTGCTGGCTTGTCTGGCGCGAAGCCCACGATCAACTTCAGGCGACGTTCCTCCCCCCATCGCGAACATCATCTTCCGTGAAATGATTTACTTTTGACACGACGATCACCCAACTTCTGTTGCACAACGCGTGCAACCATCGATAGAACGTTCTGCACAGTCTCAGCCACCGCTGTCGATAGCCCTTCCTTAACCCCTTTTGGATAAATCGTCAGCTCATCATGCTCGATCGAGCGAAAAGCAGTGGCTGTCCTCGAGGATAACCCCGGATTTAGCACTGCAGTTCTCCCACTTTATCCAGCTTTTCCCTCGAATCGATCCCCGACCGGTTAACGGCGAAAGCTCGACTGACACGTATCCTCTGTTCTGTTTTCAGCCGGCTGTTTCACAACGGAGACAAGGACGGAGAGACGGAGAGACCGAGTACTCCCCACGTGTTGCCGGGGAACCGACGGATTGCTCTCGCAAACACCACTGACGATGAGCTAGCGACACGATGCGGAGGATGAAGCAGCGCGTGCTGCTCGCCTGGCCATGGTTGTGGCTGTGGCTGTTCGCGGCCACAGCGGGTTCCCCGTCTTCCGACACCTTCGTATCGACCACGTTCTCGTCATCGGCCAGCAGCGGCAGCATCAGCAGCAGCAGTTCGGTCACCAAGCCGTTCTCCCTGATCATTCCAACGTCAACGTCCTCCTCCGTCCAGGAGGATCTAGCCTTCCCTCTTAACCAAGACTTTCGTTTCACCCAACCGCTCTACAATGTCTCGATCCCCGAGAACTCGATCGGAAAGACGTACGTGGTCCCCGAGCAGAGGATGGGCATCAAGCTCGCTTCCCACGATATCAATCTCGACGTACGATTCCGCATAATGAGCGGCGATCGGGACAAGTTCTTCAAAGCGGAGGAACGCACCGTCGGTGATTTTTGTTTCCTATTGATTCGGACTCGAACCGGGAACGTCGATGTGTTGAATCGCGAGCGAAAGGATCGTTACGTGCTCGAAGTACGCGCCAGCATCAGCAACGGGAATGGCAAGAGTAGATCCTCGACCGTCCTCGAGGCGGACACGACCGTCGTCGTGACCGTTCTGGACACGAACGATCTGAACCCCCTGTTCTATCCCACCGAGTACGAGGCGACCATAACGGAGGACACGCCTCTGCACCGCAACATACTCAGGGTAATAGCCGAAGACGCCGATCTCGGCAGGAACGGCGAGATTTATTACAGCTTCGCCGAGGAGACCGATCAGTTCGCCGTTCACCCGGTCAGTGGGGTAATAACGCTCACCAGGCCGCTCAGGTAGGTCGAACGTTAATAGAATTCCCCTATTTCATTCGATGATCCCCGCCGATCGGACTGGGCCCCTGGGCCAGTCCCTTTTGAACAGCGTTTGCCACACGTTTACGACGATAACGACAGTCCAAATATCACGAGCAGGGATCCTCGAGTAATTTGTCGAGTTTCGCGTTCTGCGTCCTTCTTTTCGGAATTTCATCCTGTTGCACGCGGAGACGCGAAGTGGCTGTTAACGCTCGAATAGCTGGTTTAACGATTCTTCTAATTTTCCTGCACGTTTGACCGACATACGGGCTTATTGGTCGCGTACGTATTTCAATTCTTTACGTGGGTTACCTTCTGCACTGTGACATCGAGCTTAAGAGGGTATTTCAATAATTTCACAGGCGGAGAACGATATTTTAATATTTATACGTTACTTTCCTTAATAGAAGAGTAGAGAATTGCAGGCTTGCAGTGCGTTTCAATGTTACGACCCGTATCTGTCTCGTTAAATGATCAATTTGAAATGAAACTCTCGTATAACAAGATAAACAGACAGAAATTCTTCAAGCGTTCCTCAAGATATCTGCAAACGGACGTTTACTCAGAACGCCCCCGCAAGTCAGCGACTTATTTGAAATATATTGCTTGCGAGTATATTGTTTGTGCAAGGGACCGCAGTGCCCGGTAAATGTAATAGAAGAAACAGATTTACGGTAATATGTGTCCTATAAAGTGCTTCACAAATAAATGCCCACACTTCAGAAGCTTATTTAACTCCAAATCACAAAAGACGTACGAACAGTCCATCTTTCACGAAATTCAATATACTCTCTAGCTCGTAAACACAATAGAGTCACGTGACCTTTTAACTAAGGATTCATAAAGTTACAAATCAATCGGTTGAACGGCACCCAAGTTCTCTGTGTTCCCACAGGTACTCCGAACGAGCGACCCACGAGCTAATGGTCCTGGCAAAGGATCGCGGAGCTCTGTTCCGTAGCGGTGGTAGCAGCAGGCCCAGCACAGCTAAAGTCACGATCAGAGTGAGACAAGTGAACCTCCACTCGCCCGAAATCTACGTGCATCACTTACCAGACATCGTGGAACATTCCAACGCCGATATATACGCGATCGTCAGGGTGGTCGACCAGGACGAAGGTGTGCACGGTCAAATCGCAAGCTTGGACATAGTCGGTGGCGATCCCGCTGGTCATTTCAGGGTGAGATCAGCCGGCGGTTCTCATTCCGGCGAATACAACATCGAGGTGTTGCACCTGCTGGACCGAGAGACAGCGGTGCAAGGGTACAATTTAACGTTACGCGCGATGGATCGTGGCGTGCCGCAACGATTCAGTTACAAATTCGTGCCTGTCCATCTGGCGGATCTGAACGACAACGCGCCTGTCTTCAGCCGTGAGATCTACGAGGTGAAGGTCCCGGAGACCGCTCCCATAAACACGCCGGTGATCAGACTGAAAGTGACGGACGCGGACGAGGGAAGGAACGCGTTGGTGTTCCTGGAGATCGTGGGCGGCAACGAGGGTGGCGAGTTCTACGTGAACGCCGAGACGGGCGTGCTGTACACATCGGCGAGCCTGGACGCGGAGAAGAAAGCGTTTTACACGTTGACGGTGTCCGCCGTCGATCAAGGAAACGCCGGGACGAGGAAGCAGTCGTCCGCCAAGGTGAAGATCAACGTGGTCGACACGAACGACAACGATCCGACGTTCGAGCAGTCCGAGATGGAGGTGTGGATCGACGAGAACGAACCAGCCGGCACCTCGGTGGTCAAGATCACCGCGAAGGATCGTGACTCCGGGGAGAACGCTTACATCTCGTACAGTATCGACAATATCCAAAAGGTGCCATTCGAGATCGATCATTTCTCCGGGATCGTAAGGACCAGACAGGTGCTCGATTACGAGACCATGAAGAGGGAGTACCTGCTGCACGTGCGAGTCAGCGATTGGGGTCTGCCGTATCGGCGACAGGCCGAGATGCAGCTACACGTGAAGGTGCGGGACGTGAACGATAACAGACCCCAGTTCGAGAGGATCGAATGCACCGGCCACGTGCCGCGTTACCTGCCGATCGGCTCGGAAGTCATCACCGTGTCGGCCATCGATTTCGACGCGGGCAACACCATCAGTTATCGCATTGTCTCTGGGAACGAGGACGGTTGCTTCGCTTTGGACTCGGCCAGCGGGGTCTTATCCGTAGCCTGTGATCTATCGGACGTGAAGTCCACCGAGAGGATGGTGAACGTTACCGCCACGGACGACACACATTTCGCGGACGTGAATCCTGTACACATGCATCTGGTGAACGCGAAGAGGAACCTAGGTTCCCCAGGTAGAATTCTATCCGATCAAGGTGGCGCGTTCGAGTGTCGCGACACGGGAGTCGCGAGAAGGTTGACGGAGGCGATGGCATCCGCGGAGAGGAATAATATACCGTCGAAGGACGACGAGTACACGTTAACGCCAAGCAGGTACGGAGAGAACATACATACACCAGAGTTCATCGATTTCCCCAGCGAAATCAAAGTGAACGAGTCCGCGAAGGTCGGAACGACGCTGGTCAGGATACGCGCAAGGGATAGGGATCTGGACTACAACGGGAAACTGGTGTTCTGTATATCGGGCGGCGATCGGGATTCCGTGTTCGGTGTCGATCCAGATACCGGTGATCTGAACGTGATCGGTTACCTGGACCGAGAACGGGAGAGCGAGTATTTCCTGAACATCAGCGTCTATGATTTAGGCAGGCCACAGAAGTCCTCGTCCCGTATGCTACCGGTCACGATTCTCGACGTGAACGACAACGCCCCGAAATTCGAGAGGTCCCTGGCGAGCTTCCGGATCTCGGAGACCGCGTTGAACGGTACGAACGTGTGGCGTGCGAACGCGACCGACGCCGATCTAGGGGAGAACGCGCGTGTCACGTATTCCCTGGTGACCGAGACGAACGATTTCCGCGTGGACCCGGTGACCGGTGTTCTGAGCGTGTTCGGGAGATTGGACCGGGAACGACAGGAGATCTACGAGCTTAGAATACGGGCGCAAGATAACGGCGGCAAAGGAAGCGACACGCCGCCATTGTACTCGGACGCTTTGGTACGTGTCACGGTTGACGACGTCAACGACAACGCGCCTGTCTTCGCGTTATCCAGTTACACCGTGAAGATCCGCGAGGACGTGCCCGTCTGGACGGTGGTCGCAGTTGTGGACGCGACCGACCCAGACGAAGGGGCAGGCGGCGATATCGAGTACTTCCTGTCCGATGCAATGGAGAGCGAGGGTTACTTCAAAGTCGATAAAGTCTCCGGAACGATCAGGACCACCCAGAGCTTGGACTTCGAAATGGTTATAATCGAGGTCGTCGACGTGAACGAGAATCTACATCCGCCGGTGTTCGACGACTTCGTCGTGTCCGCGAGTGTGTTTGAAAATCAACCGGTCGGGACACTAGTGACGACTGTTCGTGCCAAGGATGCGGATCCGCTTGGTGGTGACTCGAGGATTGGATACACCATTCGGGACGGCGACGGGATTGGGATATTCTCCATCGATAATGAAGGTGAGTCTTTTCTTTGGTCTATGTAATTTTTCTCTGGGTTACGTAGTGTTTTTTTAAAATAAATATTGCTTTATGGATCGAATAGCGTAGGTAAAAGGCATTCGAATGCTTTAATGGCCTGATAGAGGAATGAAGAATGATGATAGAGAGGAAATTCCTGCAAAGTCATAAACATTGAGCAGAAAACATATTCCAGCAAACAATTATAGAAAACGTCATTTCACGAACTTGTTTGCTATGAAATCTCGTGTTCTGTAATTGTGTATTAGACGCAAGAAGAGGTTTCTTTTATCTCTATTTATCTACGACCATTAGTGGATCATGTCCGAAGAGAAGAATGTTCCATCAAATTGCTTGACACGCAAGAAATTACACACTGAAATTAAAAGTAAACCGAGGATACAAGAACCCAATGCGTCAATATTTAACTGTACTTGGCTAGTTCATTTAATCTCTGAGAATGACATAGATTCAACGACGTAGCAATGTTGACGCCGAACGGTATTCAACGACGTTCACCGGAAAACATCTCGGCGAGGCTATAAATCGACCTCGCTCAATTAAACTCGGGTATTCATAACCGTTTGACCGTCGAATGGAAGAAAAAAAAATACCGATAAAACGTTCCACTGTCGTTTATTTCGTTCCGTTATCTCAGATCGAACCGACGCCGTTCCCTTTTCGCTGATCCGATGCCCGTCTTCGCCGCGATTAATGTCCTTTCGGGAAAAGTAGATCGTCGGTATTAGTGTCAATCCTTTTTTCCCGCGAGGCTTCCCGATGTCTCTGCGCACTCGTCCGTGTGCATTCGCCGCCCAGAGGTTTCTTCGTTTCCGAGTCGATAAAGTCAACGTCGCTCGGGGGACCGCGAATCTCATTCGTTCGTTAATGAGAAATTTGAATTTTAAACCAGAAGCGAATCAATGGACGCACGCCGATGTAAACGTTTATTTAAATCCCGCCCGGCTTTTGACGAGCATCGAGCGTATTATACATCCGCCGTCGCTGCTAAACCGGCCGATTTGCATATTAACCTTTTTACGGGGGTGGAAGTTTTTGCGTCGACGCGGGCGGGGCTCCGTTGACCTGCAATTTAAATTCATTCCACTCTAACTTGAAAATTTTGCACCGGCCCGAGAGTGTCCAACTTGCTTTAAAGATTGCGAATATTCCGCGAAACAGGGTCGACAGGGCTGATGGTATTCTACGTTCTGGACTTATATAAATGAGACTTTGAAATGCTCTATACAGGGTGTCTCATTTAAGTGTGACCCCACGAATACCTTTTTTAATTGTAAAAACTAATTGAATGGTATTAAGTAGTCAGTATAACGTTTCTAAGGTTATCGATCTTTCCTCTCAAATAACTACATATTTTTTTCTATTGCATCGCGTAGCTAATGAAAAAATACACTCAGATATATATTATGATATACCCTTTAAATAATCTATAGTTATTGAAGAAAAACATTCATAACATTGAAAACTTTGAGGACAAAATATTTCAAAAAAAAAAAACAACTGTAAAATATTTTTTGCGTTGTCACAATTAAAAATGATATTCAGGTGGTTAAACTTAAATGAGACTTTACTTAATAAGGAAATATCGTAGAAGCCAGGCGAAGTGCGCTTTAATTCACGCCCGTATCGCTAGCAGCGTTGCGAAGAAAAGTCACTTTAAGGGAACCCTGGTCGTCGTTCACGAGAAAACAGAGGGTCGAGCAAAGCGACCGTGATTCCACGGAACCATCCCTTTCGTTCACCGCCAGAAGGAGAATCAAGCGTAACAATACTTCGAAATCGTTCAAGTCCCGTGGTACGCCAGCCCACCCGATTCATTCTTCGCGACGGTCGAACCATGCGTCCGCGAGACACGTCCTTTTTCCGTTTTGGTAGCTCCGCTATTCCGCTTCTTTCCCGGTGCCCGGCACACTGATCGATCGAGAAAGAGCAACGGGGCCGGGCAAAAAAAAGAAACATACACGGGAACCGTTCGCTCTTTACATCCGACGGGCGAACGGACCCCGATGCTTCGTGGCACAGGGCCAAAACGAAGTTACAGCGTCGCGGCCCATTAAATACCGACGCGGCGGGTTTAATTGAATTATGGGACTCGCGAGTGCGCACTCTCTCTCTCTTTTTTTTTTAGTTGAACGCCGCGCATTAAATTTCACCCGTGGTCTCTTCTTGCCGTAAAAAACCGACTCGCGAAATCGCGCGTCATTCTGCCTAATGGTTGATCCGCGAGCGTACAGCGAGGCCGCTGAGACGAGTACTGGAACGCTTGCTGCAGTGCTGTCGACGAAACGGTCTGGTACGAGGTACGGGGTAGCCTAACGAATGGAAACCCTAATTTGCTTTATTTCAATTATTCTGATCATTTGTTGTATCGTTTCATTTTGTAGTTGATTTCGAAGAGTGACAGTACCATTAGAGTCAGTAATTAGGGTGAACTGTAATAGTGTCAGGAAACTTCTGTAGGGTTACCCGATTTGTGAAAAGTTACATAGGAAATTAGCCTTTGAAGACCAGATTTCTTAAACGTGCTACGTCGTTGTCGCTTATTCGAATATTACGGATTTACAAGAATTTAAAATCATCATCAGCTATGTGAGGTTCACAAATCCATACTTCCCACAAGCAAACTATAATTTTTTTGGAATCTTATTGTACAATTGACATCACTCAAATGTAACACGCCGATTTTAATGCCGCTTGGTACAGAGGTAGTATTTTGAAACATATTTTACACGTATTTTTCGAAGCCGCTGACATTTACATATAGGGATGAAAACAGTCCTCTAGTATTTCGAAGCACTACTTAAGCAATTATTTTTGTCAATAAAAACGCACAAGTTTTGTTAACAAATATCTTTTCTAAGTTGAATTTTGCATTCACCGAGGGCTGTTTCCACCCCTAGATGTGAATGCCACCAGCTACAAAAGAAGCACGTGTCAAAGATTTCTCAAAATGCATAACAATTGGCGTGTTAAACTTGCGTGATGTCCCGTGTTAGATGCACAGATCAAAGAATCCAACAATTTGCAGCACGTCGTGCCAAAGAATGGAAAATCACGAGTTAAAATACGCGGTAATCACACACATTAAACGTCAACAATCGCATTAAACACACGAACTACCACGGCTCGAATTCCTCCCCGTCATCGTATTGTTCCTCCCCACGGGACCGGGGCCCGGCTAATCCAAGATTCACCGCCGGATCTTCCTATTTTTAATTTCAAGCTTAAGTAAGCTATTTTCCACGGCTACGAGCCTCCGGAAAGCTCAGTCTCCCAGCATCGTCGGTCCGGATTACTGGAACACGGACCGCTGGGAGGATATCTTCTGAAATCTCTCCGCGTCAACTTGCCTCGTCCACGGCGTCCTCCACTCGTCAGACACGGGCTTAATTAATATAAACGCGATGCTAATGACGCGAGTCGCACCGATGAATATCGCGAACCAGCTTTTTTCCCCCCTCTAGCGATCTATTTACTAATGACCGGGGCGAGTCCTCTCGGTTGAACGGGGCGCGGCTCCCGGTGCCCACGGCCATAAATCGCGTCTCGTGACGTTTCGATTCCAGTCGAACATTTCGCGGCGATAAAATATACACCGCGCTGGAGGAGGCTGGCTCGAAACAAAAAAAAAAACCACCCTCCCAGCCTCGTGCAGCGGGCATCGTACTCGCGCTTTAGTCACATTCGACGAGTTTCCATCGTTCACTGGAACAGAATGCGGTTATTTGCGGAGGGCGCGTGAAGGGATGGAGGTATTGGTCGAATAAACATGTGGAAGTACGGGGAGCTGTATTTTGTTTTTATATTGACGATCGCATTTGAGCGTGTATAGTGGTATATTGCGTTTAAAATTATTGTTGAAACGTGCATACTGTCGATTCGAATTCTGTAGCCATAGAGGTGTTTACATAAAGAAAGCAGCGAGCCAAGGTTCTCCCTTCCACAATGTTATCGACAATTTCGCCACACCCTCATAAACACAGAATACCAATCATATACAGGTATGTACACCACTCCGACACAAAATTGTAATAGATCCGAACGACAAGCAGTTATTCTGCGTTCAACTTCGATAGTGTCTATTTCACCAGTCTAGTGCGATCTCGTACATTCAATTTTGAATACAGTTTATGTGCAAGACGACAATTTACATTCATTCAGTTTAAACATCCTGATAATATTTGTGTATGTGATAATTAGTTACGACTTACAGTGTCAGTGAAAGTGATATAATTTGCATCAATTACTGTAAGTTGGAAAATAACGAAGTGCTTTTGCTATAATAACATCTGTTCCAATTACTTGGTGAGTGTGTTTCATTCATAAGTTATTATAATATGATTGGAAATTAGTATTACAGTTGCAGAAGCACAAAATGTATTAATTTTCTATCGAGTCGGGTAATAGGCTGTATCATATCTGTTGCCGATTAACGAAATGCCATAATCGAATTTTCCACAGATTCGTTACTACAGAATTTCGCGTAATATTGCACACGATTCATGCGCGGCCGAATGTGTGCTGCGCGAGGGCGGTTATATCGATCTCTCGTGGAGCAAAAATAATACATTGTCAGTGGTATGCATATTCAACCGTTGTAAATATTCATAAGTTGCCGGTGTATTGCCTTCGTGTTTGGAGCATAACCGCCAGTTACCGTGGTTCACGGTGCTGGTACCCCGTCGGATCCGTGGTTACCTATAAATAGTGTTCAAACCCCATTAGCTAGGTCATTCGACTCGTTTGCGATTTCAGCATCAGATCCATCCAACGTTCGTAAATTTTTACGATTGCTCCATTGGACCAACTGGTGATCTCGCTTAAACATCGACCTTAAATTTGTCATCTATCATAACCTGAACATTACAATTATTACAAATCATCATACTATCATAATACCACATTGTTATTACAAAACAATCCAGAACTAAATTGGTAAAAAATTCTCAGGAAATATAGGCATCAAAACTCGACCGTTTCTTTGTTTGAAAGTTATCCAGGACTATTCTCCATATATCTGTGATGAGAGCACCTCTGATGTTTGTCATATATAAGAACATTCATACTGCTTAGAACAAAATATTACTTTAAACATAAAATTGATTTCCCGATCGTCGTACACCTCGTCGAAAGGGACGCGAGGCAAAGAGACGAACCACGTGGTCGTATCGGTTCAAGGGGGCGTGTGGTGTGCGCGTTGGTTGCTCGTTAGTGGGGTCACATTCGTCGGTTCGTTGGAGGCAAACGACGTAGCCGGGGCGATCGACTAAATTTCCTATGACGCGGTTTACCCGTTCGCCACCGCGAGGAAAATGCAGTTAAACTCTGATCACCATAGAAAACTGCCACACCTAGTTTTCAAAGGCGCGGAACCGAGGGCCGCGCACGGGACACTCCAGACACATTTTCCGGTAAACGAGCTAACGTGTTATTCCGCGGGCGGCCGGGCGGCACTGTCCACTTTGTCGCCGGCGGGTGTCGGGGCAAGCGTTAGTCCATTAATAAAGCGACCTGTATACACCTG